TAAATATCCTAAATTAATCTGGCTGGTTTTACTAGGACTTATTCCATACATATTGCTAGTAATTATGCAAGTTTTGAGGATTTTTTCTTTTTTACATTATTTTAATGCAAGAAAATTGTGCTATATCAATATGTTGGGAACGTTTTCTCTATGACATGTGACGTCGGATTCTTTTTTGGGACGGACCAACCAGTACTTCCTGTTATTAAACGCTCTCTGCGTAGGGAGAAGAAGATAAACTGTGTGCGACATCTTTTAAATCTCCCCTTAGATACTGATTACTTAGATACTAATTACTTAATTAATTACTTTTTACCCCGTCCTGTAGTGAGTCTCTCACGGTCAGAGGGCATGCCTCTGTCGGATCGATCGAGCTCTGACGGCGGTGGGGAGCCACGCAGTCCTCGGGCCCGTAGACCTCGGACCCGCTCCCGCAGTCGCCATCGCAGCGGCAGTCGCCATCGCAGCGACAGCCGCGACCGGAGCTTGTCTCCGGACAGCTTCGGACCCAAACTCCCTAAGCCACGCAACCGTGAGAGGGAGCGAGAGGAACGGGAGCGTCGATTCAAAGAGGCCAGAAACATTAAACGGATCCGCATAGGAAGTCCTCGTCGTAGCCGCTCCAGGTCCAGATCCAGATCAAGGTCCCGATCCAGAGAGCGCCATAACAACAACAACAACAGCAGCCACAACCACAGCAACCACTGGTCCGAGCCTCTGGGAAAACACGGCGGCCTCAAAGATGATTATTACTACGAGCAGCAGAGGGACGACGCTCAGCGGCAGAGACAAGAGGCTTTTATCGCCAGGTATGAAAAGTCCAACATCACTGTGAAAAGCTATCAAAGCCTGAACCCTGCAATTCCCATAATACAAATCAGTCCTCAGGTACACGAGCCTATTGGTGCATTTTATGACGTGTCACCACTTCAGATGAACAGTCCGCTGAAGGTGGAGGGCTCTTCAATGTATCTGTTACCAAAAACCAAACAGATGGAAGCTGTCCTCTTTTGATTTGCTGCTAATCTGAGTGTAGTTTGACATTTCAGTTAAAAACACCTTTTTGCAAACTTATGTTTTAGGCGTCTGCAGGAGAGGGAGAGGATCGGCGAGCTGGGTTGTCCTGAAGTTTGGGGATATTCACCCAGAGTGAAAGAGCCAGAGTAAGTGAGGAACATACTGCTAATTTTGTGTTGGCTTTGTGGAGACACATGTCTTTAAAACTGCATTTATTTGTAAAATATATTTTTTTAAATTAAAACTGTCTTAAATTCCGTGTGTCTTGGTCTTAGATGTTTTTAGTCTCATCACCGTAAGAGTTTCTATTTCGCATTTCATTTTAACCAATTTTTCCACCTTTTAAATCTTACATTTCCTGTTAAATTTTATTTAAGCAGTTATTTAAAAGGTCTTGATGTGTCATACCTGTTGGCACCCTGGCAGAGACATCAGGCGTTGTTCTGTCTTATTTTCGGGTATCAAAAATTCTTTTCTGTATTT